AAAAAAAAAAAAAAAAAAAAAAAGCAGTTAAGTGCTCTTAATTGTTGAGCCCTCTCTCCAGAAACAAGAAACCAAACTTTTTATACATTTACTAGGTTTACTCACATGGTAGTATGTGGTTTTCTTTATGTTTTGGTTTGGCTTGGTTTTTCAAGACAGGGCTTCTCTGTGTACCTTTGGAGTCTGTCCTGGAACTCGCTCTGTAGATCAGGCTGACCTTGAATCACAGAGACCTGCCTGCCTCCGCACCCCAAGTGCTGGGATTAAAAGGCATGCACCACCACCACCTGACTAGGAGTGTGTATTTTTTATTTCCTAATAGTATTACATCATTCAAATACACTACAATGTTTATTCAATTATTATATTTATCTATTTTGTACTTGTACTAATACACCATTCTTTTTATTGTTAAATACCATTACATTGTGCAATGTTGTATCATTCTGTTTCTCCACTTACTTTTGATGGGTATCAGTGTATTTTCTACTTTTCAGTTGCTAGTTACATTCACGTGCAGGTCTTTGGACTGTATGTTCTTATTTTTCATAATACACACTAAGTACTAAGATTGAAAGCCCTTATACTCAATTACTACATTTCTTATAGCTATTACACTGTGATGTGGGAATAGTTTCTTATTAATAAAGAAACTGCCTTGGCCCATTTTATTGGATAGAAAATTAGGTAGGCGGAGTATACAGAAGAGAATTCTGGGAGAAAGAAGGTTAGAGGAAGAGTCGCCATGATGCTCCCACTCCAGACAGACGCTGAGACAGAATCTGAGAGATTCCTGATTCAGCAACAGCAGCAGAGAAAAAAGCTGCGTCATTTTAAAGCGCACTACCTGGGGCTGTGCTGCCTGCATGAATTCTGGCTTTAAAGCATTTCAAGGCTTTTATGGGACTGATGTTTGTGTCCCCACTTGGGATCGGAGGAGAGTGCTCTGAGACTGTGCAGATGGCTCAGGGCTCCCCGCCTGCACCTGGGCAGAAGGCGGAATCAGGCTTAGGCAGGCAGAAGAGCATGGCGGATTCCTGCCGCCATACAGAGATGCGTTTTCAGTCTGCGCAGTGCTCTGCGTGTCAGATTTGGCTGTAACTTGGATGAAAAGAGTTTCTGTGCTGCACACTCAGTCTCAGA